TACATGACAGCTGATGATTTAAAAAGAGAAAAACTGCCCTGGCCGGTTTGGCTCAGCAGTTAGAGCGTCAGCCTATGGACCAAAGAGTCACAGATTCGATTCCAGTCAAGGGCACGTGCCTCGGTTGCAATTCCTCCCCAGCCCTGGTCAGGGTCATTTGGAAGGCAACCACTCGATGTGTCCCTCTCATGTCAATGTTTCTCTCTCTCCCTCCTACTCTATCTGGGGATAAATGGAAAAATATCCTTGGGTGAGGATTTAAATAAATAAATAAATAATAAAAAGAGAAAAACCCATTCCAATACTTCCAAATGTTTCAACATAGTTGGGAAGACAGTGAATACCTAAAAATAAGCAAATGTTTGTTTAATGAGAGTTATATATTAAGCACAAAATAATGTAGCCTATAGTACATATGGTGAAAGGGTTCCTGGGACAGAAATGAGTGGAATCAGCTAGCCCCACTGCATGGTGTCTACCAGAGGTTAGGAGGCCCACTACTAACATAACCAGAACACTACCATCAGAGTGCCTTTCTTACAAATAAGACACTTTAGAGCCATGCAATTTCCTTTACTCAAGTTAACATTCCTTTGGAAAAGGAAAAAGTATCCTTAGCACCCACCATTCCCCAGATAATAATTTTCCTATGCACAAAAAGTTTTACCAGATGCAAATGTTCACTCTTTTTATTTATTATTGTTAATCCTCACCTGAGGATATTTTTCCATCGATTTTGAAATAGAGTAGAAGGGAGGGAGGGGAAGAGGAGAGGGAGGGAAAAGGGGAAGGGAGGAAGGGGGGAGAAAGGGGAAAAAAGGGAGGGAGGGAGGGAGGGAAGGAAGGAGAGAGAGAAACACTGATGTGAGATACATCGACTGGCTCCCTCCCTCCCTGGTTTCAAACCAGGGACCCTTCCTGTGTCACTGCAACCTCTGAGCCACACTAGCCAGGGCATGTTCACTTTTTTAAAAAAGAATGATGCTGACTAATGATCTAGACAGTTTTCATCCTTTTATGCTCTGAATTAGGCTATTTTTTTTACCCTCACCTGAGGACATTTTTTTTTTTTTTGCATTTATCTTCAGATAGAGTGGGAGGGAGAGGGGGAGGGGAAGAGAGAGAGAAACATCGATGTGAAAGACACATCAAGTGGCTGCCACCCACATGATCCCAACTGGGGCTGGAGACAAACTGCAACCGAGGTACATGCCCTTGGTGGGAACTGAACCCAGGACTCTCTGGTCCACAGGCTGATGCTCTAACCGCTGAGCCAAACCGGCCAGGGCTGAATCAGGCTATTTTTTTAAAATCTTTTTTTTCTTATCCTCACCGGAGGACATTTTTCCATTTTTTATTCAGATAGAGTGGGAGGGAGAGAGAGGAAGAGAGAGAGAAAGAAACATCGATGTGAAAGGGACACATCAAGTGGCTGCCACCCGCATGACCCAACCTGGGCCAGGGACAAACTGCAACCAAAGTACATGCCCTTAGCGGGAAGTGAACCCGGGTCTCTCTGGACCGCAGGCCGACGCTCTAACCGCTGAGTCAAACTGGCCAGGGCTGAATCAGGCTATTTGTATTAAAATTCTTATTTCTATCAAAGTTCTTTAGGTACAGCCTAAATGCTTTCAGAGCCTAAATGCTTTCAGGTCCAGATCTTAGGGCAAGTCAACAAATAATCTTTAAAATATAGCCCATTTGTTTCTTGGGGAAACACTTTTTAAATGTCATCCACTGAGCCCTGGCCGGTTTGGCTCAGCGGTTAGAGCATTGGCCTGCGAACCAATGAACTGCGGGTTCGATTCCGGTCAAGGGCACGTACCTCAATTGCAGTTCATCCCTAGCCCTGGTCGGGGTCATGTGGGAGGCAGCCAGTCCATGTGTCTCTTTAACAAAGACGTTTCTAACAAGTATGTTTCTCTCTCTCTCCCTCCCTCCCTCCCATTCTATCTGAGATAAATGGAAAAATATCCTCGGGTGAGGATTAAAAAAAAATTGTCCACTGACAAAAAAGGTGACTGACTACAGATAACAGCACACAAAACTATTTTGATAAGGGAAAATTCCAAAATATAACATTGTTTAGAAGTAGACAATCATAGAACTCTATGTAATGAGCAAACTGAAGACCTCTACAAAGACGTAAATGTCAGGTGACCGCATAGCCAGATCTTACCCCATTTATTCCAACAGCTGGGAGACTGACTAGGTGCTGCAGTAAACCACCTGACCAATTCAAAGTCACCACAGACACTACACATTACTTGCCAATTCTCAAATTAATTAAAATATACTCTAAACCTGTATTGCTCGATGTGGTAGCCGCTAAATACATGTGGCTACTGAGCAACTGCAATGTGCTGGTCTGAACTGAGATGAGCTATAAGTGTAAAATTTCATCAATGCACTGGATTCACACCGGATTTTCAACGACAGTACCAAAAAAAGTAAAATATCACATTAATAAATGTTTCATATTGATTATATATTGAAATGACAGTATTTTTGACATGAGTTAATAAAATAAATCATTAAAAGATTTTTTCTCTATTAATTTTTAGAGAGAGAGGGAGGGAGGGAGAGGGATAGGGAGAGAGAGAGAAACATCATTGAGAGAGAACATCAACTCACAGCCTCCCGCATGCCCCACACTGGGGATCTGGCCCACAACCTGGGCATGTGCCCTGACCGGAATCGAACTGGCAACCTTTTACTTCATGGGTCGATGATCAACCACTGATAGCCACACCGACTGGGCCAAGATATCATTTTTAAAATACCACCATTTTAAATATAGTCACTAGAAAATTTAAAATTGCATTTGTGTAGCTCACATTACATTCCCACTGGAAGTGCTACTCTCTACAAATGCAAAATATGATCCAATCTTGCTTCGATGATTCATCGTGATGATGAACACCAAATACACAATAAAGGAAGAAAATTGTATTTATATCTTGGATATGTAGTTTCAGATAGTATCAAATAAGAATTGTATGTTATTAAAACTTCTCTTACATTTAAAATCATCCCCAACTGTGTTAATAGAGGAAGGACTCAATCCTACAAGTAGTATTTTTAGGGATCAAGAAGGAAATACAAAGTTAAAGGCCACAAAGAGGGACTAAGAGAAATACCATCTGTTTCTAGAAGGCATTTTAAAACAAAAGCAGTGTGTTTTAAATAGTGAATAGACCTATCTGTTTTTTAAAGGCTGTATTTGATTATTTTGAGTATCATGAATAAATTTCCCAAATGCCAGCTAAGCAAACTTCTTTAAAAAGGAAACCTGGTAAGGCAGAGACCAAAAACCAACCATGTGGAATAGAGGTAAAATGTCTGAATGCACCTGTGAAAAATATAAACCAAGTTTGTTTGTTTTTTAACAAGGTACTCAGAATTAAACATTATGCAAAGATAAAAATCAGTCAAAAATCCTGTCGATGTTCTTCAATATTATCATAGTATAATACATCAGTGCACTCTCACAGGCTTGACGAAAACTGCTATCAAAATTCCAAAACACCCTAATGCCTTTTCCAAATCCAGCCGGTGAGAATTAGGGAGAGAACAGTTTCCAAATATCTTATCTTGCAGGGGATAAAATTAGAAATTGACCATTCAGTGCCACAGTAACAATAATAAATACTGTGTGCGTGGCATTCTATGTGAGAGGCACTTTTGAACACATCCTTCTTTTTGACTGTAGGGGCGACCCACGGACACTAGTAAGTTTTCAGCCCCACCAAATTCCTGGCTGGGAGGCCTTGACTTGTTCAAGGTCACACAGCTGAAAAGTAGCAGAACCAGTACTCGACTCTGCACCTTCTGATGCTCATCCAACTGCCCTTCCAGGACGTGACAGTCGTTCACGGGGAACCCAGTGTTTGGAAACGCGGCCCGCTCTGATGCCAAAGAAGGATCCTGGGATCGACCAGGTCACACCTCCAGAGGCTGCCAACAGGATGTGCTGGAGTCCGTTCAAAACCGGGGGAAGAGGTTATCCGAAGAGGAAATGACTTGAAAGATCAGGGGGAATCTCATCGAGACGTCCTTGGGTGCAGCCCGGCGGAAAAAGAGGGTCCCAGGAGAAAACGCGTGCGGTTTTCACGGCGCAAACGGTAGCGTGCAAGCAGGATTGTGTCGTTACTTGACTATAAACGTGTTTGAGCATTTTACTTAACACACAGGGCCTCAGAAAACCGATCCACCCCTCTGGGGACCCCCAGCCCTACCTTTCCCCCCCGTGTCATGACATTTAGTTCACAAAGAGCCGGGCCAGAGGCTCAGGATTCAGCACCCCTGGCGGTTTGGGGGAAGGGGAGGGAAGAGGCCGGGCCGGAGGTGGGGGTGCAATGGCCAGTGTCTCCTGCCCGGGAGGATGCACCCCCGGGGGGCAGGACAAAGGCGGCGCCAGCACGGAGGAGCCCCGCTCCAGCGCGGCGCGGTGACAGCGGCCGCGGAGGTACGCGGCCGGCACCCGGGCCGGGGCCGGGCTCCAACGGCTCCGCAAACCCACGCCCTCGGTGAACTCCGCACACGCCGGCGCCCGGGCCAGGCAGCGCGGGAGGCGTGGGCTCGCGGCGCGAGAGCTCCCGGGGCCCACGCCGCCCGCCCGCGGCAGGCGAGCCCAGCACCCTGCAGGCGGCTCACAGGCGCCGCAGCCCCGGGGCTGGGCGAGCGCCACGCGACCCCGGCCTCGCGTCCGCACCCGCCGGGGCGGGCGGGAGATGCCGGGCTCCGGTTTCACCGCCGGCCTCGGCTCCCGGCCGGGGTCCCCGCAGCGCAGGGGGCCCGCCCGCCCCCGCCCGGCCCACGCTGACAGCCCGGCGCGCCCCCACCTGCCCGCCCGGGGGTCGCGGGGCCGGGCGCGCCCGCCAGGCCACTTCCTTCCCCGCCCGCCCGGCCGGCCTCGCGCGGGGCCCCGGGTGGGGAGCGCGGGAGGAAGGAGCCTTGGCCGGCGGCCCGCAGAGGAAACCGCCGCCGCCCGCACCCACCGGCATCATCGCGACGCGGGTCCGCGACGCCCTCCGCCGCCTGACAGGACGATCGGCGCCGCGCCCGCCGCGCCCGCCGCTCCGGCCGCCCTCACAGGCCGCGCGCCGCCGCCGCGCTCTCGGGTCCTCAGCGGCGAGGCGGCGGCTGCGGCGGGCTGCGGAGCCTGGCCAGCCTGTCGCGGCCGCCGGCGCGCTGCGTCGCTGTCCCGGGACCCACCGCGGCCACCGCCGCCGCCGCCACCGCCGCCGCCGCCGCCGCCTCCGCCCGAGCGCCTCGCGCTGCCCGCCCGCGGGCTCTCTCCTCAGCCCTGCAGGCCACGCCCCCAGCGCGTCGCCCCCGCACGGGGCCAGCCGCCCCCTCCGATTGGCCCGACCGAGGCGGGGGCGGAGCCGGGGCTGGGCTTCTCGGCCCCGCCCACCCAACCTCGCTCTCGGAGGCAGCCAGGTGCGAGCGCGCCTGTGCGCGTCCGCGCTCCCGCGGGGAGGGGGGGCGCGCTGCGGACGCCGGGCCGCTGCCCCGCCCCGCCTCGCGTGTGGGCCTGTGGGCTCCGGGCCGCTCGGGTCCGAGAGTCGGCAGTTTCGGAGACCTCGAGCATGGGAAAACGGAGGCCCGCAGAGGGAAGGGCCCGGCCGGGACCTCGCAGCGAGTCCCACCAAGGCCAGGACTCGAACCGCGCGCTCCGGAGGCCGACGGGGGCGAGGTGCGCCCGCGTCTGACCGCGGCCTGACCCCTGTTCTCCGCGTCCCCGTGGGGCTGCAGGCGAGGGGCCTGGCGCTTGGCGCGTGGGTGCGCCGGGAACCATCCACGTGATCCGGCTCCGCATTGCTCCGGGTGAACCCACGAACGTGCCTGGGCTCCGGCCCCAAGACAGCTGATCGCCCCCCACCCCGCGTCTTCTTGCGGCTTGCGGTGCCCTGCTCCTCAGGCCCGCGGGCCTTCCAGGACATGTCTGTGCTGTCCAGCCGTGACCCTTCACCGGCGGTACCCCCCGGCCCAGAACGCCTGTGTCCACCTGTGCAAGCATCCTTCGTGGTTTGAACGTCCCAGGGCAAGGTCCAGTCCTCATCTCTAGGCTCCAGGTCTCCTTACAGCCTTGTCTCCCGTGACACCCTTTCCTCTGGACTGAGTGCCTGAGTTACAGAGACCTGGGCCGCACCACCCTTGTGTCCAGAGTCCAGTGCAGGGCATGGAGCAGACCCTAGGAAAGGCTGACCAGCAGGCAGGCATCCTTTCTGTGCCCTCCACAGTGTGCCAGGCACTTGAACCCTAACCGAGATGAGTCTGTGAGTGATGTACTCCCCTGGAACGTCCACGAGCACCCAGAACGTGAAGGTCTGTTCATGGCCCTAAACCACCTTGGGAAGGGCCCAGGTCCTTGGAGAAGGCAGGTGGTCAGGGTCTGCCTGTAACCCGTGTGCTCCCCTAAGAGGTTAAGGCTGCTGGGAGGGGCTGGGAAGCAAAGAGGGAGGAGGCTAAGGAGAAACCACTGTCCTCTTTCCTGGGGAGTCACCCTATTCAGAGGTCATGGTGCCTGTGTGTGTATTAGTGGTTGAGAGTGTAGACTTTTCAATTAGATAGACATTGCCTCTGCTACTGTATGACCTTAGACAAGCTACATCTCCTGTCAATTTGCCCATCTCTATAATGGGAGGTTACAGAAATAATAGTGCCTGCCTCATGGGATTTGGGGAGGTCCAGACATAATGCATGAAAAGATTCTAGTACAGCTTGTGGAACATGGTAGTCGCTCCATAAATAGCACTTTCCTGTAGTTATGCTGTCATGAGCAAGCTGGCTTAGTTACAATTGTCCCTGGTAGAAGGATCACCCAGGGATTCTTGAATTTATACAAACTGGGCATCAGTGGCTAATGATATCTCTTCTGGCAGCAGGGTTTGGACAGAAGAGGAAGCTCTAGGTAATGGAGATCCTAGGCAGGAACTCATAGAGACCCAGGTTCTTATTCCAGCTCTGCTTCTGACTCCCCATGTGGCCCTAGGGACCTGCACCCCTTCTCTGGGTCTCCGTTTCTCCATGTGTAACCAGCGAGGGGTTAGATTCCATGATCCCTCCAAGGGCCTTCCAGCTCTGATTCATAAGTCTTGAAGGGGCACACTAAGTTATGAAGGGGCCCCTGTCCCTTGCTGGCCCACTACGCCAGACAAAGGAGGTACTGCAGAGAAGTGTCACCTGGGGTGAGGTGATCAAAATGAGCCCATTCTTCCAAGAAGTGGAGCCTTAGCCATTGGGGTCCCACTCTTACCTTCAGGACCTGTGGGCACAGACAGTGGCAGCTGCCCCACTCTCACATCAGGGTCCCCTCTGTCCTCCAGGCAGGCATCCATTTGAGACCAGGCTGGTCAGTGGCTCTCCACAGAGGCTCTCCAGCTGGTCCTCCTCCTACTCTCTGTGCTGCTACAAACACCAAGCATCAGGCCTATCACCTGGCATCTAGACCAAGGGCGTTCGTAATTGGCCTGCCTCCCTGCTCTAACCTCCTTCACGCCCAAACCATCCCACACACAGACATAATTAGGTCATGCATACACACTCCTGCCCTGCAAAGCTTGTCTGTGTCTCCCTATCACCCAGACTAAAGTTCACAAGGGGCCCTTCGGGAGTCACCGTTGATGGTGGAATGCGAACTTAGGGTGATGGAAGACGTCCAGATTGTTCGGAGATGCACACTCGCATATGTAAGGGGTCTGGAATTTGCTATAAAACAGCTCAGCAAAAGGGAGAGCTCGAGGCAGGGAGGGCTAGCTGAAGCATACGCACACATTCTTCAGTTGTTGAATATGGGTGATGGGGGTACGAGGTGCGTCGCATTTTCTATTATGTATGTTTGAATCGCATTTTCTCTCTACTGTGTATGTTTGAACTATTTATATTAAAATGATTAATTGCTCTTTAAAGGAAATTTTAAAAGGGAGAAAACTTGGGGAGAAAACTGAGTATAGACTCACATTTGCATAAAGGAATTCTATTTTTTAAATTTTATTTTGAGAGTATGTTTATTAAAGCTGGGCACAGTGAAACAAGGAAGGGCCTAGGATAGAAGAAGCAACAGGAGAGAGACTAGGCAGGGCTGCTCTGGCTCTAGAAACATCATTGGAAAGAAATGAGCCAAGGCTGGGTGGGCTGCCTTCAGCTCGCCGGAGAGTCAGAGAAAAGGGGGCCTTAGAGACGGGTTCAGGGGGTGAGCCCAGGATGAGCTGCAGCTGCCCATTGCTCCCCTGGTTGCAAGTCTTCTGGGGACCCTTAAGAGTTTAGGAGGAAAAAAATTCACTTGAAAAGGAGATTCAAGTGGGCGTGCCCCAAGGAGGGTGTTCCCATAAAGGAATTTTTGAAGGATCCATTAATGAATACTAATGAAGCAATGACCTGAAGGGAGAATGGGAACTGGGTACATAAGGGACAGAAGTCTGAGTACTACGTTTCACTATTACTTTTTTTTAAAATGTGTTTTTATTGATTTTTTTAGAGAGAGAGGAAGGGAAAGAGAGAGAGAAGCATCTCCCTACTGAGGATCAAGCCTGCAACCGGGGCATGTGCCCTGACTGGGACTCAAACCAAGACCTCTGGGTCCATGGGACATCGCTCAATCCACTGAGCCACACTGGCCAGGCTCCACTATTATATTTTAAAAATAAATTTTATTTAAAAATTTTTTTTTCTTTATTGATTTTATTATTTTTATTTTTTTTATCCTCACACGAGGACATTTTTCCATTTTCTGTTCAGGTAGAGTGGGAGGGAGAGAGAGGAACAGAGAGAGAGAGAGAAACATTGATGTGAAAGGGACACATCGAGTGGCTGCCACCTGCACGACCAACCAGGGCCAGGGACAAACTGCAACCAAGGTACATGCCCTTAGCGGGAACCGAACCCAGGTCTCTCTGGACCGCAGGCCGACGCTCTAACCACTGAGAAAACCGGCCAGGGCTCTTTATTGATTTTAGAGAGAGAGGGAGAGAGAGATGGAAACATCGATGAAAGAGAACACTGACTGGCCGCCTCCTGCATGCCCCCACTGGGGATTTAGCCCACAACCTGGGCATGTGCCCTGACCAGAAATTGAACCAGCGACCTCTTGGTGCATGGGTCGACACTCAACCACTGAGCCACACCAGCCGGGCTAAACTTTATTTTTTAGAACCATTTTAGATTTACAGAAAAATTGCAAAGATGACAGATAGCGTTTCAATATTACTTCCCTCACCTTATTTCCTATTATTTACAAATTATATAAATATGGTACACGCATTACAACTAATGAGCTAATGTTGAATCATCGTTCCAAAGTCCACAGTTTATTCAGATTTCCATAGTTTTACCCAATGTCCTTTGTTCCAGGATTCCATCTAGGATATCACATTACATTTAGTTGTCATGTCTCCTTTGGCTCCTCTGGGCTGTGACAGTTTCCATTGTTTTCTTTGTTTTTATGACCCGGACAGTTTTGAGAAGGGCCGATTAGGTGTTTTGTACAATGTTCCTCACTTGAAATTTTTCTGATATTTTTCTCATGATTAGACTGAAGTGATGGATTTTTTTAGGTATTTTTTTCTTTTTTCTTTTGAGAATGGCAAAAGAAAGAAAATGAGAGATAAAATGCTATTTTCATCACCTCATATGAAGGGCACACACTATCAACTTGATGTATCACTGTTGATGTTGACCTTAATCACCTTGTATTCTTACCTTCTATGTTTGACTTTGAACTAGATGAATATATTACTATTTAAAATTAAAAATTAAAAAACTTAAGACCTATATTAGTTTTCTAGGGCTGCCATAAGAAAAAAGATGAAAGACAGCTTAAACAGAATTTTTTTTTTTATCCTCACCCGAGGACATTTTTTTATTTTTGTTCAGATAGAGTGGGAGGGAGAGAGAGGAAGAGAGAGACAGAGAGAGAGAGAGAAACATTGATGTGAAAGGGACACATCGAGTGGCTGCCACCCGCACGACCAACCAGGGCCGGGGACAAACGGCAACCAAGGTACGTGCCCTTAGTGGGAACCGAACCCAGGTCTCTCTGGACC